GGCACGGTGGGGGCGGTCGAGGGGGAGGACAAAATGGTGGGGGGCACGGTCGGGGAGGTGGCGGTGGAGGACAGATCGGTTGTGGTGGAGGTGGAGGGCATGGTGGTGGAGGAGGTGGTGGAGGGCATGGTCGTGGAGGAGGTGGGGGAGGACAGCACGGTGCTGGGCATGGAGGAGGTGGTGGGGGTGGAGGGCACACATGTGGAGGACATGGAGGTGGAGGTGGAGGTGGGGGACAGAAATGTGGCGGGCATGGCGGAGGTGGCTGGGGTGCAGGACAAGGACGGGGTGGTGGCGGTGGAGGACAGACTGGTGCTGGAGGTGGTGGTGGGGGTGGGGGGCACGGTGGCCGAGGAGGGCACACCCTGGGTGGGCATATCGGAGGTGGGCACGGGCGTGGCCGAGGGGGTGGTGGGGGTGGAGGACACGCAGGCACACTGCATGCTGGCTCGCAGCAACACCCTGCGGCCTCTACCACAACCCTCTCATAACCCAGTACCACTGCTAACAAGATCCATTTGAGCAGCATCCTGAAACAATTCATGATCACATTATTGCACATCATTCCATCTTAATCGCAAACCACACACTACGTGCATCTATCAAGCATCACTCTCCACTCCATTTTCGTCAATAAATAATTCATCTTACAAAATAACCCGTAAAACATTTGTCAATATTCGAAATTAATTTCGCCTAATGTGCATAACTATACAAATGCAATTATGATCAATAAAAATGTGTCGACTTCTCAGACTGATCTTTTTGAAGTAGGCTCACTTATTAAGCTATACGGAAACATCACACTGAAATATAATTGAAGGTACAGAATTTCATTTATAATTTAACGAAAATAAGACAATAAAATCGGAAGGGTAAAAAAGTCGGTAAATGCATAGATTCGTCTCGTATCAGTCAATCGCATGCTGATGATTTGAATAGGGTATTTGGTGTCAGCCAATGAGACGTTAACAGTTTCTAAAAAAACTTATAAATATTTCGTGTGTGCCAGCCAACAAAAACAATTTTTTCCTTCAAATGTACTAGGAACGTTGTTAGAACATTGATGTAATGAAATAGCACTCATGTGTAAATCTTAATTAGCCATGGAAAAAGCAATTGTCGAAAGTTATTGTTTGAAAGTTGATTCTCTAAATGTTCTATTCAGTAATTCATGTCGAATGAACGAATTTTCTTTCCATTTCATTCACTGAATTGACAGTTTCGAGAAAGGCTATTGTCAGTTAGAGCTTTTTTCTAGAGCCATTAAGATCATCATATCATTCATGCAAAAATCATGGCAAGAACACTACGTCGAAGAAGATTGATTGGACGAAATCGCTACAAAAGAAGATGAGAATCCGAAGCAGAGTTGTTCGGAAGCACGTAATGTGTAGTGACATCTGATGGAACGATTCGATTCCTTTTATATTTAAAGAACTTGTTTTGGGTGGTGGTGTAGAGTATAAAAAAGGGAAGTCACGAGAATGAGCATGGAAGTGTTAACGCCTTCATGAAAGACCTGGAATTTGTAAAGTACGCGAAGCAGCGAATAAAACTTGTAGTAAATAAACAAACGTGCACAAAACTGCAAAACACACACANACACACACAATCTCTATGAAAATGTTCAAGGTGAACAAACACTATGACAGAGGACTTCTACTTGAATTATTATGAAACAACAAACTGTTCAATGAAATGATTTTGGTGCGATCATAAGTTACCAATGCTCGCAAACACTGTCTCAACCGTTCGCTTTCGTTTACTTCCTTAATCTCAACTGAAATCCTTAATCTGTTTGCATCATCTGATTATTGTGAGCATCATAAATACATCTCAGTTGATTTTTGATGCATCAATGACGTTTCTCATTTAGCTTCGAAGAGATCTCACTCATTCGAACAGTATACGTCTTTGCTTAAGTCCACTGATTTCCTTTAGTTCGTAATCACAAATAAGACGCAATTTCTCACCGTGTTCGTCACTTTCCTTCAGCAAACTGCACCCGTCCGCAAAAGTTTCCTCTTAGTCATTCTTCAGGAGAAGGGAAGAAGAACGAAAATTCCGATAGTTGTAATTGAATAGAAGAGCACTGAAACTGCTGAAAATGTCGATGATGAAGGCTCTCAATTGGCTTTTTTAAACTTAAGAGGTGCTGTTAAAAGCAGTTAATCACTTGAACACAACCCTGTGTATATTTTATGTATATTTTATGTTTTCAATTATTTTCGTTTCATCAACGTTATTTTATAAACAACATTTGATCACACCAAATATCTCTCCACTTTTATTTCTTTTTTTTACCAACGGAGAAGTGCTCCGGCGAATTTCACAAATTTTACAATATTCACGCTTTGAAATCATGCGAATGCCTTTCGAATGTATCTGAAAAAAAGTTTTTCAGACAATTTTCCATTTTTTTTTCAAAAAATCACTAAGATACTTGTGAAGTATACAGATTAAATGCAGCAGCAATAGCATTTTGACACTTCCACAAAGGCAAATTGATCATAAATTGCTCTTTTTTTTTCAGATGGTGATTCGAGATGGAGTTCTTTTTGAATTGGTGCATCGTGAAGTTCTTCTGGAAGGTAATTAGTCAGTCGGACATAACGATCAATTCAAAATTCGATTTATGAATTCTCTGTGCATCATTACGGTCAATAAATTTGTAATAACATATTTATATAATCCCGATTATTATCGTGCATTTTTCTCACGTTTTTTCTCCAGTTCATCTTCGACAATCATCAAGTTCTTATCCTTGCATCGTAATCGGCTTATCGAGGGGACGGTCACATTAGAAATCGCATGGAATTAAAGGGTTTCATTCCTTCAGAATTAATGGTTTACTCAGATACTTCATGCCGTTTACGGGTATTTTTTTGCTTTTTCTTTAGTGATTAACGAAGCGGGGTGTTTTTTTGCTAGAAGAAGTATGCGTCGCAGTTGTGAGGGATAGTAAGGGATTTGACATGATTTTCGAGCAGAAATGCGAAAAATGTCGTAATATCCGAAAGAATGAATGCATCTCACACCAAATAACCTGAAAATTTGAATTGTTCAAATTTGAATCATCTTATGCACAGCATCATTTCCAACTCTCAACTGATGTCACATTTGAACTGGAACAAATCGTACGTATGCACATTAAAAAAACTGCTGTGGAAAAAGGCCTGTCTGCAGTCATGATTCACCTCTCGGAATCTCATTCAAAACCGAAAGTTGTTTCCCAAACAATGCAATGTGCTGCTTGAGCGGTGAAATAATTATCAGATGATAAGTTTGCTGCATATGTGAACATAATTCCAAAATTTGTTGACATTGAGCAGTGAAAGGAAAACGAAGAAAATTGTGGACAAGTTTATTAATCTTTCAAGTGACATAAAGCGAGTTTTTGAGTACCAATCGAAATGGAACAATTTTCGGTCGCTTCCTCGTTTAGGCACGACTATGACAAATAGTTTTCATTCATTCGAGCCAATCACTTATTCAGCTAATAATAAGTGCAAAAACCTGTTCCAGTATGAAATTGCATATGTTTGCAACGAGATGCGTGACGGAACGTGTAACCGAACCGCTTGAAGTATACACCAAAATAATACATCTGCTTGCCGGTTCATCAGACGTTTTTGATACTAATCGTCCAATTACACTTCGTCACATTGCAATT